GACTTCAATCTCAATAGATCCAAGCCTGATTTCAACGCCAATCATCATTGGGACAAACCTTGCATCCATCCTCACTTATACTCTACCTCCAATCACCTTCTCCAGATTTGAAGACATTTCTCTAATGCTTGTATCAACAGTGTCAAACTTTGAGTTTAATTTAGACACCACATCCACGACTGTTATAACCAACACATCTTCCCCATCATCGTCCTCCTCACTAACACCGTGCAACACATACACAAAAATGCATAAACAAGCTAACCAAACGTTACATAAAATATAAACTCACTATATACCATATCAATTACCTTTCTTCTTTCTTCTTCTTCTTCTGTGCATCTCCTTCACCAGATTCACCACCCTCACTGTTGATCACTTCCATAGTTTTTGAGACCTTCTGGACTTTCTGCTTCTTTGCGGGAGATTCAGACTCAACCTTGCTTTAGCATTTACTTTTTTTCTTCTTCTCATTCCTCTTCACATCCCAAAAACCTTTGACAAACTTATCCTCATGTATGCCTAGGATCAAGTGATCAAGTACTGGGTCTTCTGCTTGATCTGGCCACGTATGAAATAGCTCTCTTACATCATCATTCATAACCATTTTACTCACACACAGCTATAACATAAGAGATTATGAAACCCATCGGTAAGTTTTAACTCAATCATCAATAGGTATAACTCAGACATCACTATAGCATAACTCAGCCATCACTAAAATATAACCTCCATCACAAACCAGTACTCAGCCATCAATAAACCATACCTCAGCCATCACTAAAATATAACTCAGCAATCACTAAAATAATACTCAACCATCCAAAAATATAACTCAACCATCACTAAAATATAACTCAGCCATCCTAAAAATATAACTCAGCCATCACAAAAATATAACTCATCCATCATAAAATATAACTCAGCAAGCCATCACAAAAATATAACTCATCCATCACAAAATATATCTCAGCAACCGTATGTAAACTAACTTAGCCATTATTAAAAACACAACTCAGCCATTAACTATCATAACACAACCAAAACCTTACCTCACCATACGTTCTGATATCTTCAGCAATGGTCGATTCCATTGTTGAACGTGTACGGTTTCCACCCCATCGAAACAAAGGTATCTCATCATTATTGACTACATTCCCAAATCGCTCTCCAAAGCATTTGAATGAATCATGCGCCCAAGCCTGTTACACATAAACCATACCACTAATGGTGTACGGCTTTCCTATAGGCCTCAACATCTTTATAGCATCAACAAGAGTTTCAAATGCTGACCGACCCCATGGATAAGTCTTCCTGACTTCATCATCAAAAACTCTTTTTGCACTTTCGAATGCTATTCTAGAATTATGATGCAATCCATAAATACCAATGGCTTGAAGAAGCAACAGCCCCAACCATTTACGCTTTTGAGGAGGCCATGTCTGGCACACTGATAATCCTGCCTAAAGTTCATCTAACTTTGGTCCTTCCCCACCAGGCACATTCAATTCTATGAAAAACGTTCTGTAGTCAGCTTCAGGTTCAAACATCTCTGTAGGCATTGAATGACCAAATTCATTCAAGCCAAACATGATAGGTTGACCATCGACGAGACACCAAATCTATTCTAAACTGTCTACATAGAAGATATTGTACAGTCTTACCAAACCACGTGAATTGGCTGTCAGATAGCTTAGCAACTATTCCAATAGGTAACTCCTTCATTTGATCCCACACATCTTGACCTATTGATTCTCTAATCCCAGGGAGATCTGCCATCTTAAAATTATGGCTAATGCATCCATTCTCCAGCTTAGACTCCCCTTCTGCGCAAAGTCTTGGAGGGTAATCCCTTGCTTGTTCTTCAGAAATAACCTTAGCCATCTGATAAGAAAATCAGCCAGAGTATAAATCATAGATCAGCCACACCATAAAACAAACTCAGCCACAAATGCATTGATAAACCGTCAATCGGCCGTAAAGCAAACCGTAACTCAGTCGCAACATAAAACAAACTCAGCCATAGATGCATTGATAAACCATAAATCAGCCATAAAGTAAATAGTCACTCAGCTGCAACATAAAACAAACTCAGCCACATATGCATTGATAAACCATAAATCAGCCGTAAAGTAAATAGTCACTCAGCCGCAACATAAAACAAACTCAGCCACAAATGCATTGATAAACAATAAATAAGCCGTAAAGCAAACCGTAACTTAGTCGAAACATAAAACAAACTCAGCCACAGATTCATTGATAAACCAAACACCAAATCAAATAGATCTAACAAATCAGCCACCATATGTAAATCAACGACGGCAAAAATCAGCCGTAATAAGCATTGATAAAAACCCTTAATATCACCGTGATAGTTTTTGGAAAACGGTTTAAATCATGGGAATCACTTGTAATTAAACGGTTTAAACTCAAAAAAAAGATTCGAACTTATCGGAGCAAGTTTGTTTGTGAAAAAATGGAAGATTTTTAGCAATAAAAAATGAAGAATCCACTCTCAAAAACAAAGAGTTCCCACTCGAGTTCGTGAAAAAGGAGACGAAATGCAACATAGATAAGAGAAGCGGCCGGAAGATACGATACGACGGCAGAATTATGGTTCGACTTCGAAATCGCCGAGAGAGAGAGATTTTTTTTTTCGTAACAAAAGAGAACGATTTAGTTTCCCTTGCTTTTGATCATTAATGACATAACTGTTGTTAATGACATGGATTTTTTTTTTTTTATTTTAATGACATGGATTAAACTATTTTTTCGTTAATCATTTTTAATTAAAAAATTATAAATTAATTAAGTGTGTTAATTGTAATTACACAAGTGCATAAAATATCTAAGTAATTTTTTAAAAATGTATAATATACTAACAATATTACAACTTTTCTGTAACATTCGAGTAATTTTTTCTTAAAATAACCATGGCATATTGTATTGTAGTTTGTGCTTAATATTTTAGTATGACTTTGCCTTACCAGTAGTCAATTAGTCTGTTAAAAATATCATTCCTTTTGGGCAGAGCCGTGCATAAAGATTTTCAGGCCGTAGGCAAAAGAAAAAAAATAATTTCGTATATCACAATTTATAAAAAATATAAATACGCAAATATAAAAAAAAACTCATAAAAATGTTGATAAACAGAACATTAAAATAAAATGGCAACAATTTTTTTTCAACTACTTTAATTATCTAAAATAATTCAGTAAACTAAATCAATAGAGTGAGTTTAAATGACAACTATCCATGCTGTAGAAAAATCAATTTACTATTGAGAACACAAATTTAATATGTTTTTTTGGAACTCATTATAAATTAGCAAGTTAAGATATGAATTTAAATACTTATCTTTAAAAGTTATACATTTATACATTGTGTTTCGAATTTATATAAGAGATATTAAAAGAAATACAACATAAGCATAATTATAAATATGGCTTCTTAAACTTTGTATAAAATTATTTGACATAAACATAATTATAAATATAGTTTCTTAAGTTTTATACAAAATTATTTGACGTAGGCAAGTGCTTTTTTTAGCTCTACATAGCCACGGCCCTACTTTTGGGTCAGAACATGTTGAACCAGAAATATATATACTATACTTTTTCATAAATCATAAAATAAGACGCTGTAGTCTTTACGCGATAGTTTTTACATAATACTATTAGTTAACTTTTACGATTATTAAAAAAAAAACGTTTACTATTATTGTGAAAGTTAGTTTGTCACCGAGTACTATAAAAGTTGCCAAAAATATTATCTAAATCATTTTTTTTCCCTAACAAGTCTTTTTCTATATGAGCAATGTGGTAGTATTGTCTTAGAATCAGTTTATTACTAACCAATATTTGTATATTTGTATTGCAAATATGTAACAAATGTATGTTCGGAATTTGCTTTGGGGCTCTGTTCCGGGTGGATTTGAAGACGCAGTTGAGGTAGATTCGAGAGTCTAGTGTGAATCTTGAAGTCAACGAAGTTGGAGCCACCAAAGTCAAAGACAAGGAGGATAGGATTAAGATGAAGAAATCTGATTCTTCCACAATTAACCTCTCTTCAGATTTATGTAAATCTAATATTCATGAATCTTGATGAGATTTTCCATGCATAAGAAGATTATTTACAAATAGATTAAATTATAGTTGTCTCTATGTATATATATATATATATATATTTCCAAATATAGTTCATATGCTTTTTAAAAAAATATTATTTTCCATTAATAAATTTAATTTACCAAATATAAATAGACAAATTAGTTTCATTATATGTAATTAGCCTGAGAAATCTTAATATTCTGATAAAAATTCCAGTATATGTGAGAAAAATTGTTCAATACTTTCGTGTCGTTATATTCAAAATAAACTGATTTCATGGAGCAAACTTTTTAAACTTTTTATAATAGATTTCTTACTTATTTTGAAAATGTATCCGACTATCCGAGTACTGTTAAAAATCCTAGATAGCTTATTTACGGATCAGGTCTTAAAAGCTGACACCAGTTTGGGAAAAAATATTGAATTCTTCAAAATAAGTAAGAAATCTATTTTAAAAAGTTTGCTACTTTGCTTCATGAAATCAGATTATTTTGAATATAACGACTCAAAAGTTTGACCAATATTTCGCCATAGAGTTAAACTGTGGTCTCTGTGCCCATGAAACATACGAAACAACAACAAAAAAACCACTAACGATTTTCAACATTCGTTCGGAAAATAAAAGGCTTAATACTATCATTAGTCTTTCAAATGGAAACAAACTACATAAACAAAGTTGCAAAAAAGAAAGACTAAAAGCTGAAGCAAACCAGAAGAAAATTCATAAACCTGAAAGTCTGAAACGATATGAAAAGTTTTCTACGGCTAATTAAAAAAGACTGTCTTCAGTGAGCAACACACAGCTTCTGCATGCAACTCAAGACAAATCAAGCAGCACAAGCGAATAATTTGGTCTCAGCACCAACAAAACAAGAGAATGATAAGTACTCTTCACTTCTTTTCTAGCCTCAACCCAACATTGCCTGGCTCACAAAAAAAAAAAAACAGATCACATCAGATTAGAAAACAATGTCAACATAGTATTATACATTATTTACAGAAAGAGAGCTTACATGGAACAAGACTTTCCGTGAAGGGAAAAATCACAGAATTCACATATTCAGTAAGAGGGCTGGTCTTTTTGTCCCATATGTTGGTACCCAAATCAAAACTCCACAAGCCTGTCTCCTTTGTCACAAACAGTACCTCCTTCCCTGATGAGGTTATGAATAATACAGAGTCATCGTTCTCAAATGGGAATTCAGGACAAATTCATCACTTCGAACCTCTCTTCCATATCAACCGAGAGGATTATACCAGGACCATCCAAAGAAACCAGCCAGTATATCTTGCCTCCTGCAAAAACGTGGCTGGATTTGTACGGACTGAAACACACAGCCTCTGGACGATGAGGCATGGGACCGATGTTTCTCCAGGCACCAGTGCTAGATGAATACACCTCGCATTCATGGACGAAAGCGTTGGGAGAATTATGGTAATAGACCACACCTTCTTCTTCAGGGTTTTTCTTTTGTTCCAGTACATAATATGCGGAAGACCTTGTATTCGCTCATGTCGGTCCTGTATCCAACTCCGATGCACGGTTCAGTCCCAAACAATGGCCTGGTTTGAGGAAGAAGCAGAGTTTCCTCAGTAGATGGATTGCAGATCCAGATTTGAAGGTCTCCATGGAAATCGTCTATACCTTCATCAGAAATTCCGTTGATGCAGCACACAAGTCCGTTGAAAGATGCTATCATGTACATGAATTACTCAGCGCTTCTTCCATAAGGATCAACTGTAGCGTGGTGTTGATAGTTGAAGTCCTTTGGGTTCAACAAGTACAACTGCATAGCATTGCTCATAGTAGGAGAGGCTATGTACTAAGGCCTCCTACTCGATTGATACAAATACTGCTTGGCGAACTGCGCATGGGTCAGTGAGGCATGCCAATACTTGTTAACTCGTTTGAATGACCCCATGGACTTTACCGAGAGTCTCGACAGTATGTCGGAAAAGACACCCTCTCTTTTCCGACATACTGTCGAGACTCTCAGTAAAGTCCATTGGATCATTCAAACGAGTTAACAAGTATTAGCATGTCTCACTGACCTCAGTTAGTCAAGCAGCACTTGTATCAATCGAGTAGGAGGCCTCAGTGCATAGCCTCTCCTACTATGAGCAATGCTATGCAGTTGTACTTGTTGAACCTAAAGGACTTCAACTATCAACACCACGCTACAGTTGATCCTTATGGAAGAAGCGCTGAGTACTTCATGTACATGATAGCATCTTTCAACGGACTTGTGTGATGCATCAACGGAATTTATGATGAAGGTATAAACGATTTCCATGGAGACCTTCAAATCTGGATCTGCAATCTACTGAGGAAACTCTGCTTCTTCCTCAATCTAGGCCATCGTTTGGGACTGAACCGTGCATATGAGAGAGTACAAGGTCAGAATCTTTGTGAGTTGTGACGAAACTTATGATGCTTCACGACCTTCGCAAACTCAGAATCTTTAATCACCATTGTAGACGAAATTAGCGAGTCCTAATCAACAAAAAATTAATATATAATTATTAAATAGTTTAACTAATAATTAATATCAATATTTTAAGTTGATTTTTTTTTCTTTATCTTTTGTTTAATCAACCAAAACTATCTATTATTGAAAGAAAGATCCTCAAACTTAATAATAAAAATTCTAATCTTACCAAATAAATTAGACTAATTATTAATTTACTATTAAAATCAAAAGTAAGAAGATGATGAAACACATAAAGCGGAAATATAATAACAACACAAAAATAAAATCATGAAACTAACCTTTACGTAGATCATCAGCACCGACCAAAGTTCACATTAATTCAATCTATATGCATGGTTTATGTTTTTGCCATCAAACGCCGAATACGAGACAGCGGTGAGAGATCCCATGGGAGTTTATTTTTATTCTTTTCGTCAAAATCGACAAGTGTATGAGAAATTTTGAAGAACATGTTCAATGAAGAAATGATTTGTGTTTCGTCTTAGTCGATCGAGGGATGAGTGTTTAATAAATCTCCCATTCATCATTATATAACTACCAAAATGACGAGTTCTCTTCAATAGGTCATGTAGACTGGCACATCACCAGAAAAAGAAGATAAGTACAAAATAACTTCTACATTGACTAGGTTAACTGTTCTTATTTGACTTAGGAAAGAAATTAAAAGATTTTAAGTGACTAGTTCATGTACCAAATCTTCATTTGATATATTACTTAATCTATATTAAGACTAGTTCATTGTTATACCCTGTATATATTAAAGTTCTTTTTCAGATTAGTTTTTATTTATATAATTTGAATTGGTGTAAAAAAAAAAATAATAATTTGAATTTAATTTTCTTTGTTCTTTATTTTTTTTATGAGTTACGAGTTTCTTTTATATTAACATAATTTTAGGGTTATTCGTTTTTTGTTTTGTTTTTATAGTCGTGTTATTTGATTAAGTTAATCTCATATATTAATATTTGGTAATTGTGTAAACAATATAAGCAAAGATAAACATATATTTTTCAAGATGATATATAGAGTCATCTTCTCTTTTTTTACGGTAAATATTTAGGTATAGTTCAGTGTGATCATGCATCATATATTTGAAATTATTTATATGATTAGCTTTTATTAAGGGATTTATATAATTTGAATATGAAGTTTTTCTTTTCTTCGTTCTGTACTTTTTTATGAACCATTTTATTATGAGTTTCTTTGCATTCTCCTCTTTTTTTAACTATAAATTGATATATCTATACATTTTCTTCCAACTTGATTGAGGGAAAAATTAAGTTATTTGACACTTGAAAAACATATATGACATAGCCTTACACTTCAAACTAAGTGTCCTCTTGTGAATATGTTCAAATCCCCGAAGTCAAAAGAAATAGCCATGCCCAAAATTTAAAGAAATAGAGAATGTTGCTGCAAGTACTGATATACTCTCAAAAGTTTTTACAAACTCCATTTCTGTCCAAAAATCTATATACATATATGATGTAATGTAATCGTTTGTAACAATTCTTGGGTCTAGTTAGTGTGAAATCATAATGAATTTAGTAAATAGTTATGTCTAGATGGAGCATTACTCAAGAAAATAATATACAAAATTCTGAACATTTCAAAAGAAATGGTTTTCACCAGCTGTCTCATAGAAGAAATTTCTGCATGGCTTGCAGCAATTACCGATTTGAGCATACGAGGATGTACTCCTTCTTTTTTTTTTGGTCAAAGGATTGATATTAAGAGAATGAGAGTCTACAAGAGGCCCATTGGGCTGATTAAAGCTAAAGCTGATTTTGCAATCCCGTCTGCTACAACATTTGCAGATCGGTGAATGTATCTGAAAGAAAGGGAAGAGAAGAGATGAGCAAGGCTTCTGATGTCGAAGAGAATACCTGCGATCTCTGTCACATCCGCCCCCGTAGAGAGGGTATTGATAAGGAATTTCGAGTCCGATTGAAGGTGGAGATCACTAATCTCTAGTGAGTTTGCCTCCTAAAGTGCTGCTAAGACCGCCAGGGCTTCTGCTACCAAGGCAGAGGCCGTTGAGCTTTCTGCGATCATCGAGCCTCCTGAGTCTGAGATGGTCCATCCCATGCCCCCTATTCGCGAGTTCGCTTGCCATGCGCCATCTGTGCAGCAAATCACCGTGGTAATCCGGAGTGGGGATAGTCCGGCTGTCTTGTCTTCGAGGGTACCTGGGTTAGGGAGGTATTTGCTGAGTGCCAGAGGGTCGCTTCCTGAGTGGCTTTGGTGATCAATTCCTACGCTGTGAAGTCCGAACCCTCGAAGGTGAGCTTGTTTCTATTTATCCATAGATACCAGAGGATCCAAGGGAACAAGGGTATTTTCTGTAATGGTGATGTCGGGTGGTTTTTTGTGTTGTAGAGGGAGCAGAGCAGGACTCTAGGGTCTACGTCTGGAGAAAGGCCTGCCAGGGGAGAGACTATAGGAGTAGCACGCCACACCTCCTTTGCGTAAGGGCAATCAAACCAAATGTGGGAGACAGTCTCCTGTTTTCCGCATCTTGCACAGCAGGCATTTACGTTAATTCCCCGCCAGCAGAGGTTCATTTCCACGGGTAGGGCTTTGTTGAGTGCCCTCCAGAGATAGTGTTTCATTTTCTGTGAGGTATGCAAATTCCATATGAACTGGTACCAATCAAACTCTGTATCGCTACTTTGATTGAAGCGTTTCTGGAGATTGTAACCTGTTTTTGTTGTAAATGATCCTGACTTCGCAGGTAGCCATACTTGGTAGTCCGGGGGTTTCCGCAAGCTTGGGATAAGCAGTCTGATGGTTCCTCATATTGAGGTAAGTGAGCTTGAATTGCTTTTAAGTTCCAGCTGTTTGTATCCTGGTGTAATAGGTCTTTTACTGTGAGGTTTGCATTGCTTCGTGTAGGCGGACCCATGAGAGCTTGGGGGATATCTGTTGAGAGCCATGGCTCAGTCCAGACATTGATGCTTTCTCCACTGCCCACTACCCACCCGAGTCCTTTCCAGAGCACTTTTCTTCCTTCTAAGATGCCTCTCCAGCCGTGGGAGGCTCCCGCTGGACACTCAACCTCCATGAAGCTTTGGTCTTGACAGTATTTTCCTAGCAGGAGTTTTGCAAGTAAGCTTTCTTTGTTCTTCAGGATTCTCCAGCTCTGCTTTGCTAGAAGGGCTATGTTAAATTCTTCTATCTCCCTGAAGCCTAATCCCCCTGCTTTTTTTTGGGTGAGATAATTTTGTTCATGCTACCCAAGATATCTTCTGCTTCTCCGGGGAGGAGTCCCAGAAGAATCTTGTCAAGATTGATTGGATGCGTCTACAGAGGGACTTGGGGAGCAGGAAACACGACATCGTGTAGGTTGGTAGTGCAGAGAGCACTGCTTGGAGGAGAACCTGCTTCCCGGCTCCTGAGAGGAAGCGGGTGGACCAACTATGAGACTTTTGTCTTATTCTGTCCACAAGTCCTGAGAATACATCCCTCTTTCGTCTTCCAAAGGATTCGGGTAAGCCTAGGTATTTGCCCGAGCCGCCTTCCTTAATTATCCCCAACGAATTTTTCACTCTTTCTTTGATCTCTTGAGGTGTTTTGCTCTATTATTGATTACAACATTTGCAGATCGGGAAATGTGAGACAGCAGTGAGAGATCCCATGAGAGTTTAGTTTTATTCTTTTTGTCAAAATCGAGAAGTGTATGAGAATTTTTGAAGAACATAATGTTCAATGAAGAAATGATTTGTGTTTCGTCTTAGTTGATCGATGGATGAGTGTTTAACAAATCTCCCGTTCATCATTATATAACCACCAAAATGATGAGTTCTCTCCAATAGGTCATGTAGATTGGCACATCACCAGAAAAAGAAGATAAGTACAAAATAACTTCTAAGTTGACTAGGTTAATTGTTCTTATTTGACTTAGGAAAGTAACTAAAAAATTTTAAGTGACTAGTTCATGTACCAAATCTCTATTTGATATATTACTTAATCTATATTAAGTCTAGTTCATTGTTATACGATGTATATATTAAATTTCTTTTTTAGATTAGTTTTTATTTATATAATTTTAATTTGAATTTGATTTTCTTTGTTTTTTTATTTTTTTGAATGATTTGTCACGAGTTTCTTTTACATTAACGTAATTTTAGGGTTATTCAATTTTTTTTATTTTTATAATTGTGTTATTTGGTTAAGTTAATCTCATGTATTAATATTAGGTAATTGTGTAAACA